GTCATTCATCACGCCTGCTCAGCTCACTCCCACCCGAAGTCGGTCCTCTGCGCGGACCACGGCGATGACAGCCAAGACGGTGGATGCAGTTGCAGATGCGGAAGCCAAAGTGAACGAGGCGAACAAACACCCCACCCCCATCCGAGGTAGATCTTCAGCGGGGACGAAGGTGGTGGATGTTACGCCACCTGTAGTCGCCGAGGAGGAGGCCAAAGTGACCGATGAGAACAAAAACTCTACGCCCACACGAATTCGATCTTCAGTGGGGACGAAAGCGGTGGATGTTAAGCCTGTAGTCACAGAAGAGGAGGCTAAAGTGAACGACGAGAACAAACCACCCACTCCGCCGAGAGATGCGCCTGTTTCAAAAGTGTAAGTGGTTTGCTTTGACTCACCTACAATAGGTTGGCCAACGCATGAAATCTAAAGATTATTGCCAGATAATTGCTGTTGCACAAACACAGCTCACGTTGCGTCCTCCAAATTCTTACAGCTGTAATGTAATGCTCGTTTCTTAAATTAGGGCATATTGTGGTTTGCCAAGTAATATGACGTTCTTTAGAAATACCAGCTTTTTTTGAAAAGTGGAAAATTTCAAAAGAATGGACATCCGGCGTAGCAGAGAAAGCCTGTTAATGCGAAAAACATGTAAATAAAGCAGCACAACTAGAAATTCGTTGGAAAACAATTGTTTTGCATAATTTTCGGATGCATGTACTTCAATATTACGTTCAATGTACCGGATGGCTGTTACCGAACAGCCCAAAGTTCAAGCATTTATTCCAACATAGTTTCACGGGATTGCTAGTTGTTTCTTCCGTTTACAAGTTTTTGGAATTACGGTAGACGAAGGCAAACAAAATATTTTGTGAGCTCACCTACAGAAATGCCAGTTAGTCACTAATGGAAATTTAATGGAAATTTCAGGTTTTTGAAATGGTGGTTATCACTTTAAGGTTGTCAGTGGTTGTCGTAATTGGAATATAGTCGTGTTATTCAGAACGCAATAGCCAAACAATCGAGGAGAATGAATAATTGAGTACCCTAGAATAGGGCTTTACTCATCTTATAATTGCCGTACAAGATGAAGAGTGATTAGAATAATATAGACAATAAGCAAGCGTTCGTTAGGAGACAGGGGTGAACGTTAATCAATGAGGGTGAGTCGGTAGGGGTGAAAGGTGAGAAAGGTGAACGTGCGCAACAAAAGTTAGATGCTAATATGCCTATGATCAGTTAAAATGCTTTCTATAACAAATTACCTCTTGAAATAGCGCTTTGATTAGATATTTCCACACCAAGTATCTGGGTAATTTACCCTTTTCGAATATAAAATCAAGATAAAAAGTGATCTATTATTTGTCTTCCCTGAGCTTTAGGAATAAATCTTATGCTGAAAAGGAAAGGGTCACTTTTCTATGCATACTTGAGTAGTGTTCAGTACAATCCCTTTCTTTCGAGCCCCGTTCTAAGATTGCAAAAGTAGAACAGTGTAAGGTTACTGGGGAATTCTACTCCGATCTGTTTCAGGATGTACCCATCCAGGTTGATGGTTTGTTTGCGAGCTAATTTGAACCCCAATTTTGTATGTTACTCGCTAAATTTTAGTAACAATGGTATTTTACCGACGAACGGAGAGCACACTCGCGAAGCTTTTCTGCCTTATTGGGCGTCATCGGGTGGTGGTAGCTCAACTCCAGTGTATCAGCGGAAATTGCTGCCACACTCGAGTCTCGAACTCGCGTCTTTCCGGCCAGAGACGAACACTCTAACCCTTGAGCCACGGGTCCGCCGTTGTTACTAAAAGTAAGCGAGTAACGTACAAAATTGGGGTTCCAATTAGCTCGCAAACAAAAACCATCAACCAGGATGGGTACATCCTGAAAAAGATTGGAGTAGAGTTCCCCAATAAAATATAGTACCGATCATAAACCGACAGCACGGCATTTTGCGTCTCAAGTCTATTCACTGAATAAAGTAAACCACCTTAAAATTTCGATCTTGAGATAGCCAGTCTTCTGTACATTTCAGCACCACTTTTGTTTTGTTTTTATTGACGTAATTTTTTTTAAATCCTTCAAAATCAGTCAGCATCACGCTATGCCAGCACCGCATAAGAAGCGCAAACAGCCTCTGTTGATAGCTGAAGATTCCGTCTTCTTGCCGGTGCCTGATGCGAAGACGACGGAGACGTTGGCCGAAGACCCAGTAGAACAAAAACGACCCGTTGTTTTGTTGGAGAGAAATTCCGTTTCCGATCTGATGGTGAGTTGAGATTATTTAGCTAGACGGTAGTCTGACCGCTTGTCATTCATCTACATGACCCAACGTTTTTATCTCTCCTGCAGATCAGTGATGCGAATTCGTCGGTTGCCAAGACCCAACACAGACGGCCGTCTGGAAACACTTCTCTCAGCGACGTAAGCTACACACACACACACGATTCGTTGTTGTTTCCACAATCGTTCTATTCCTATGCATCGTGTCAGCATAGTACCCCGGTTAACACATCATCCTGCACATCATTGTATCTGCCAAAGAGAATTGTCTTTTAATCAGATCATTTTTGATGAACGTTCACGTGACCGTTACCGGAACTCATCTCTCCCTTTCTGCCTTCGGCCTTGACAGGGTCCCCGATAGTCCTAACAGCTTGTAGTATAGGTAGATAGTATTGCCAGTCCTACGCAGACCCAAGTGGAGCTCCTCCCGAGTCTCGAACGCTCGAACTCTTCGATCAGAGTCAGACGCCCTAACCATTGAGCCATGAGCTCGTTGTCTCACCGGTTTTGGGTCAGGGGATATTGACACCCGTTGATGAACATTCATCCGACCGCTAACGGAACTCCTCTGTCCCGCTCTGCCTTGGGTTTCGATACAGTCGTAACAACTGGCGACAGAAATTGCATCTGAGTATGGCTAGCTGATGACGGCTTATAAGCCAGAAATGGCCATTCCAGTCCACCTTGTCTTTGCCGGCAATACCATCAGTCTTTGTCTGTTGCACGGCACCTGTGCCTGTGCTTTAGATTAGCACATCTCAGTCATTTTGACGTAGCGGATGATTACTGTCAGTTAATATACACACTCCTTAATGCTTTTTTTTATTTTCCCTTACAGGAAGCAGACCGTGCATCCGTAGCATCAAGGTAAGTTCTATCGACTGTTCCCATTTGTTATGCCGATACCTGGGTGTGGTTTTAGTATAGGAAAGATAGGCGAACGTCTTTACCTCCCCAGGTCGTTAAGTGGTTAAGAAAGGCCTACATACTGAAGAAAAAATCAGAAAAGAGGTTTTTTGCATAATTGCGAGCAGCTGTCGCGTGGTCGGAAAGGCTAAACACAAACGACTACTCACATATTACCAGTAGTATACTTACATGTAACTTCGCGTGCTCTCTCCTACTCTTTTGTTAGTGATTACTCGAGCGACCGTCCGCATCGACGTGCGACAAACCGCATCAGTTATGCCATGCCGAGCCTGAACAAGTGAGTCCTTCCTTCTATTTTCCTTGCCTTTTTTTATCTACTTCACTGGTTCAATAAGCTCAGCTGGTGCCCGCTGTTCAATGTCACTGTGCATTTTTTTACCAATTGTAGAAAGATTCGTCAGGGCGATTCTGATTGGTGCAAGGAGACGCATTGCTAGCCTGCCTGCAAATTGTACATACTTTCCACTGTTGTAATTTTATGCTCTTTTTCTCGTGATTTGCATTTAGATTTTGAAATTTATATCCTATTGTTGTTATTTTCGTTTTCTGTCTCGGTCCCTCTCTCTCAAGTTCTTTCTGAAACC